CACTAATACAAATACTAATACTATTTCCCTTCGAATATTCAGATTTGGATGTCGGTGAAAGAGAACAGTCCCTGGCAGTCACGAACAGAAGTGCAGTACAGCAGTTTAACATAGACCGACATCTTGGTCTAGTTCTTAAATACGCCCAGGAACCAATGCTGCCCAGATGGCTGCTAGGCTGCAAGGATGTTCAGAAGCACCAAAGCTGAACACGGTCGCCAGAAAACATCCCCGCACACCACCTTGATCAGAGCTCAGATCCGGTGTCTCGGTACCATCTGAGGAAGTGCTTGTCCCTCTGCAGACGTGTCTTGGCACGGAAAAGGGCGGAGTATTCAAGAAGTGTTGCATCGCTGATGATGGACGTTCAAGGAGGCTCTCGTTGCTACGTATGGTGTTCGGACTGCCACAAAATAGTACACTTAACAATTCCTACACTAATCTGGGGGTTTGTGATTATTAAAATTATGTTATTAATGTTGACCTAGGATTAATAATCCCCCTACGATTAAAGGCGGCCTGCGGGCGGCTCCGGCCCCAATCTGTACTACTTTAAAGGCAGCACCCAAATAAGGATCGTTTTTTGCAGAAAACCCCCCACGATTAAAGGCAACACCGTCTAAAATTTCAAAAAGTGCTTCGAAAAGGGGGCAAGACTACATTTTAAGGGCGTCTTGTCCTCTTTCAAGCTACTATAAATACTACTAAATACTACTGAATACTATGAAATACTACTACGACCTACTACTACTACTACTACTACTACTACTACTACTACTACTACTACTACTACTACTACTACTACTACTACTACTACTACTACTAGCACCACTGTTTACTGCAATTTGGCTTCACGGGATTTGAGGGGGGGGGGCGGGGGGGGGGGGGTTATTAATCAGGGGTCAACATTATTATTATTATTATTGTATACTTTACCCCAAAGCCCTATTCTAATTAATGATTGAGGCCCCTACATTGCTGGAAGGCCAGAGTTTCGCTATCATGAACGGCCCCTAGCTCCCGACCCCGCGCTACAACCCCATGCGTGTTTTATTCGTTTTGGACCGTGTTCTGCAGAAGTGTATGTTTCTGAGGCCGGCTTTAAAGGCTGCACGGACTCCAAGTTGGAGGCTCCCCGGGGGGGTCTCAGGGTTTCAGGGGGAGAACACCGCAGGAGAAGACCACGGAATCGCTCTAGGCAGCTACAGAAGCAAGGTGGCAAATGTGGCAATTTGGGACACTGTTTAATTTCCCTTATGGTTCCTATTAGAGGTACCTATTCACAATTACTTTTCAGAGCCCAAAAACTACATCCCAGGAACTCATATAGTGCAACTGCCTTTCTCCACTCAGTGACCTAGTTGAACCTAGCCTACGTGTTGGCTGTCAGCTCCAACGATGTCTCGCAGCGTGTGCATGGTGTTTCCTTCGGTACCGTAGGTGCGATTACTCCAGAAATCTTTTCATGCCCGGTCGGCATCGACAAACGCCAATGAAGTCCTCCACCTCGGAGCCTTACTGCTAAATCGGGTCCTGAAACAAAAACCAAGAACCGGCCGTGCAACTCGCCAGCCACTTGTAGTTGGTTGGATGGAAGAATCTACGTTCTTGCTTTCTGCTGCATCGTAAAATGGGATAATGTAGGAGACCTCATGAAAGCGCCACCAAAACCCTGCTCTATTTGTTGAATCCCGCTTTAAGCTGAAGCAGCCTTTCAGTATGCTATCGACCGACCTCCGCCTATTAGGATCCCTGATCTCTCACATGCGAACGTACGGCAGGACTGCACGCAGATGACAGAGGAAGTGAAGCTGCTCTTGCTGGCCGCAGGGGCGCACCGCCTTGGGGCCGCAGCTATGGGTTTGTAGGGTTGAGGGCACCGTAAGTTTCGGCATTTCCGTTTCGGACTTTGTGTAGCTGCTCTGTAATGTGAGTGTTCCGACGATGACATGTTGTCGTCTGGGTCAGTCGAATGTGAGGTGGGTCCACCGATGACGGTGGAGTCTGTTCTTAGTGATGTTGTAACTTCACGTATTTGGGGGGGTTCCTTAAAGCATAAGGGCCCCAAAGCCCTACTCTAACTATTAAGGCCTCTATATTAAATAAAGCGGCCTTCTCCCCACACACGTCCCCCACGATCGCCTGTCAAGGAGCGCTGGGCGCCTTTTCAGCGGACCCTGAGCTGGGAGACCTCTGACCCTGCAAAATCTCCCGCGCTCAATGCCTGGTGCATGAGACACGGTTTAGGGTCAACGGTTTTGGGTTTAGGGTTTAGGGTGAGAGATCAGCTGCTGATCCTTACAGCACTCACCCGAATGAAGCCTGCCGCATGCGTTCATAGCAGTTGCAGTTGACGTCACTGGCTTGCTCTGTGGACGGTGCGACATCAGTCGGAGGTGGTTGCGTTGATCTTAGTCTTAATCTGGCCTTCGCCTTGGAAGGACCAGTTTCAGGCATCGAGCTTTGCAGAAACTTGAGCTGATGGAATCTTCGGGTCGCCCTTTCGGCTCTCAGGGGGACGGGGGATTCACGGTTTTGCGCTGGGGCTGGCGCCATCCGTCGGACACGATGGTGCCGCACTCGGGCCACGAGGGGTTCGGAGTCGGGAGCCAGCGCAGCTTTCTTTTGCATCCTGAAAAGCTTTTTCAGTTGCTGGCTTTCGCCTGCGATGGTGAAATCGTTGTTGTCGTCAATTGCAAGTGCAAGCTTCCCAGCTTCATCGAGCATGGTTCGATCATGAGCCGATCAAGCATATGCTGATGTCCGTGCATGTTGCAAGTAGCAGCCGGAGCAGCCGCACATGTATCCGGCACGACGCACCCGCACCGTGCGGACACGCACAGAGACTCACTACGGGAGAGCCTGTCTTGTGCTGAGACGCGCTCGACACTTATACACAGCAGTTATTCCAGTCACTCGATAAGGATACCAGAATGTAGGGCACTATGTTAAATTAGGGTCTCCTATTTTCGGAACTCCCACATCAGCATATATAGAAGTGGTGCGTATGGATGGATGGTTGGATGGAGGGATGGATGGATGGATGAAGCAAAGAAAGGATGAATGCATATCCGGATATCTGTACTTCTAGGTATTATCTACATGTATATATGTATATTTATGTGTCTATGTACATATGTATATATACATATAGATATACACAAGTATATATCTATATTATATATATATATACATACATATCTGTGTGTGTGTGTGTGTGTGTGGGTCTGTGTTGTCTCTGTCCGGCTCTTACTGAGGCGCTGCCCATGCCCATGCAGGTGCAGCCGGCGCCCAACCCCCGGCTCGAGGAGGTCGGCAGACGACCCAAAATCGTGGTCTTGCGATTTTTGGTTTCAGGCCTTGGGTCTTTTGATGGTCTTTTGATGGTCTTTTGGGTTTGGTTAGGTTCCCGGCATGTGCCTAGACCCAGGTGAAAAAAGATAGACTTTGCATGGGGTTTAAGGTGAGGAGTGTTCACTGCCACACAACCCAAGCCCATGCTGAAAACGGTTTTTTGTCCAGAGTTCAATCATCATGTACTGTGCACAGTATTACTGGTACGACGACGACTACCACGACGAGGACTGCTACGAATACTACGACTGGTCCTCCTCCTTCTATTGCTACCGCTACTGCTACTTCCTCTGCTACTGCTACCACTACTTACTACCTACTTCTACTACCACCACTACCACTACCACTACTGTTAGCACTACCACTACTTCTACTTCTACTACAACTACCACGACTACCATGACTGCCATGACTACCACGACTGCCGCGACGACGACTGCAACCACTACTACAAGTAGCAAAGGTAACAACGCTTGTGCAGCTGCCCCCGCTGTCGCAGCCAGAGACTAGTAGCACAGTCGAAGTTCATGGTACTACTCCCCGCAACACTTCTTGCTATTCTGGTCTTGTGTCATCAGATCCGCTATGAATGCTCGGGGCCGGAGTCAAAGCCAGAAAACAGCGTCCATGATCAGCAGATAATCGCACTTGAGATTCAGCTGAGATTCATGATATGAGATGAGCGCTTTTGAGGCTTTCCTGAATTCTATAAGGTTTGGGTTTAAGGTGTACACACACGCACACGAACATGAACGTGAAGTTCCGAAGGCCCAGCAAAGAAAAACCTGGGGAGCGGCCACCTCCGACGCGCTGTCGGCGAGATACACGGCACGCCGCAGGGTTTTGGGATGTGGCGTTTAGCAGGTTGGGGTTCTGGGTTCGCTTCACGCTTTTTGCAAGGTCGGCAGGAAGTACATGTAACGAAGAAGCCCGTTGAGGGATTGATGTAGACTCTAGACTCCCATTCTGGTTGATGTCTCCAGGCCGTCGCAGATGATGCGCAGCAATCGGCAAAGAAAAGAGAGGTGGCAGCTGAGGGTCGTCGAGGTTGTTAAGGGCTTTGATGAGACTAAGCTGTGGCGCTGGAGATTGCGGGAAGTCTGTATGCATAGAGATGGCTGCGGTCACGGATGCTTGTAAATCCCTTATGCAGGCTGCCATGATCTTTGCCGTTGCAGAGGGCCACATTAATGACAATGAGGACTTCATGCTTGAGACATCCAAGCCGTCCAGACCGTGCTAGAACTGCTGGAACCTGTTTGGCAGAAGCATGCACGCTTGCATTGAGCGGAGTCCGCCACTGACCATGTTCGAGAAAATGCGTGCTGCATCATGACCCTATGTCGTGAGTGGAAGAGTCCTGGAAAAGTATGTGCAGGCCTCTGTGAGCATGCATCCGCGAAGGTGACATGAACTACTGTGCATTGTGCATATCTTCTGCAAGGACTTTGATGCTGCCCTACAGGCTGGCACGCAGGCGGGAAGATGACATACCACTCGCACCCGAGCATGCAACAGGATTGTAAGTACCATGAGCATGTGCAAAATAGATTGTATATCTTGACCTGGAGCCAAGGCATACACCCCTAAGTTTGGAGTACCAGTAGCAGGGAGGGGGCAGGAGACGGCCTTGCCAGGCACTTGAGATGTTCAAAGATCTCGGCGACATTGAAGGGGTTCGATGCCTCAGCCGAGCTCGGCATTTGCAGGTGTCATGCTGAAGCACGGCATGGTATGCATGCTCGTGCAAGCGGCAGACGCCTCCTACTCATGTCGTATAGAACATGACATTGACAACTGCCTGCGCTTTATCGACGGGACATATGTGTGCTCTCCATTGGATAACATGCAAAGTACCGCCTGCAGTCTGCCAACCAAGGTGTCAGACTCCCTTCGAGTCGTGGTGGATGCCATGCGGCTTGCCGCCGCCAAGAAGGAGGCCGGAGCCGCGCGATTGGTGAATTCTTGCAATGATGGGTGTGTAGAGTATGCTTGACGACAATGCCTTCAAGCCGTGTCATGTCATGTTGTGAGTTTCTTTTGGCGAATCGGTGGAAGTTGGTCAGAAATGCTCACACTTGCCACGCAGTAAGATAGCGCACAGCCACTGCGCATCAATGCCAGGAGAAACCAGACGAAGACTAGACCTCAGTGATGCCTTGAAATCTCACTAGAAGATGTCGGGCTGGGAGAATTCGCTCAGTTCTTTGCAGGCCAGGTTTCATTTCCAGGTATTTCTAGACAAAGGGTCGGTCACAGAGGCAGGATTGCCCAACATCTTATGTGCCGGCCAAGTTGGGGAAGTTCACCCCTGGAGACTGGCACAAGAGGACTTACCTTTGGTTAGTAGGGAATGGAGGAATGGGGTACAATTATAACTACTATCACTACCATTCTTCCATTCCCTACTAACCAAAGGTAAGAGGACTGTATCCAGATGCCCACCCCCCACTACTCCTCCCAGCACCCTGACTGTCGACTCAGCCTCCTGAGAAAGCCGAAGCCTTCGGTACCAGCTCCTGAATATTACTATTACTATTACTATTACTATTATTATTATTACTATTACTATTACTACTACTATTATGTATTGCTACTATTACTATTATTATTGTTATTATTATTGTTACTCTTATTATTACGATTACGATTACGATAGTAGCTGATAGTCGGCATTTCAATTCGATCTCTGCAAGACCCAAGGCCCTGCGGCTGGCCTCAGAGGAGTTGGTCTGGTTCCGGGAGCAGGGCCAGAAGAGGGGCCAGGCCGCGCCGCTTCCCTAAGTTCAGTTTTAAAGGCTTGAAGCAAGGGAAGCATCTGGCACGGTCCGAACACCTTTTTTCGTAAATCTTGAGGTTCCCCGGCCCCGAAGTGGACAGTCAACCCTTATTAGCCCTCTACCCATACCCTAACCCTAACTACGCCATACCTCTCCACAGGCTTCCATGCTCTTGGCGATGGCGAGGGTAAACACCAGCGGCAAACGAGGCATTGGAGCATGCTAATTAGACGGGCTTGAAAATTACTGCTACTATTCTTGAAAGGTCCTTACACATCTGCAAGGATTTTGTAAGGACATATTATAGGGGCCCGAGAATTACCCGTCTGTTCCCCAGGGCTCCTTAAAGTGGAGTTGTCATGCTGGTCCATGTCTTGCAGCTGGAGTTTGCATCCTAAACCCCATGGATTGTCCGAGTGTGAGCGCCGAAACCCTATGAACGCTTTGGAAGCCTGAGAACCTAGAACCCTGAAGACCCAGCCCAAAGCCCCTGTTAGCATTATGTGCAAGGCGTCAAGGATCGCGATCAGGGCATTCGACAGGCCAAAGAGGCCAGCATGGGGGTGGGTAAAACTTGGTGCCGTCTAAACAGTGGCCCTAATCATAAGAATCCTACTTGTTGCGGTCACGCTCACAGTGCAGCGCAGTGTTTTCTGATGCCTGGAGCCGCCATCTGGCAGGGGTTCAGTTCATGGTGAAGTTCCTTGACGATTCATTGCTATTCTTGAACTTCCTGGGCCCTGTTACCTACTATTTGCTTAAGAAACCCCCAAAAAATAAAAGTAATAATCCCTATATTACCCCCATAAGGAGTATATATTTTTTATTTTTTGGGGGCTCTTAAGCAAATAGTAGTTACTAATGTCACCGTCATGCTCCTTCGCGAGCTTCGCTCAGGCTTTGAAGATTTACCGGGAGTTGGGTGACAAGCCCATGGAAGGCTTGTGGGGGCTAGGGATAGCCCTAGCTCGTAAAGTTCGGAGTTTCACAGGGTTACGGCCACCGCAGCTTTCGACAGGCTTGAGCATGAAAAGCGCTAGGAAGTTGATGGGGGGGTGTGGATTGTGTGAAAATGGTCGGAAAACTGTGGCACAGCCTCGCTTTGCCTGGCAAGATGGTGGCATCTATCTGGAGGGTGCCCCACCTTTAGCATGCCTGCTGATGGGAGCTAATGGCCAATTCCGTTACTGGCGTGTACGGTGCGTGGGTCAGTTCATTACGGTAGCTGTCTGTGTCATGACGCTGGATGAACAGGAAGGAGGGCAGTGAGAGTCGGGACAGCGCTGTCCCTAATCTCGCAAGTCCCTGACTGTGCTGCCTGTGGCTGGGACCCGCTCGTCCTTGTCGTGAAGTGCCAAGTGCTGAAACATGGTCATGATGGCATTCTTAGCAGAGAGAGTGCAGGGATGCGCTGCACCTCAGCATGTTTTGCTGTTGGAACCGGAGCTACTCCCATCTTCTGCTGATGCCCAGTCATTCGGGCAGTCTCTAACAATCGTTATGGTCGCGTTTCTCCGTGTGTGTGTGTGTGTGTGTGTGTGTGTGTGTGTGTGTGTGTGTGTGTGTGTGTGTGTGTGTGTGTGTGTGTGTGTGTTGCGCTGTTGGGCTTCAGGGTCGCCTGGATGTTTGGGTGTCGCTGTTTTCAAAGCTTCTTCAGGGCCGTGGGTCTGGTGCGCCCGGTCCTAAAGTCCTTTCACACGGTGCAAACCCCAAACGGTCATATGTCAGGTGCCGTTCTGCTAGTCCTTGGCGAGCTGTACATCTACGAGCGGCGGGCATGTTTCTTAAAACCCGCAAGGCGAAGCCCAGAATTGCAGACCGAGCAACCATAATTCAAGTAGTTTGTGTTGCTCCGTTGCACCTAGCAACTCGGAAATGCGTGTTGCCCCAGGAAACTTGCCTCTGCGCAGGTTCAGACTCTGAAACCTTTTTGGCTTGAGCCGCTCTTCCTTCTCTTCCTCCTTCTGTTCCTGCTAAACTCAAGAACCATTGACACCAACACATGCACCTACTACTACTACTACTACTACTCCTACTGCTACTGCTACTGCTACTGCTACTGCTACTGCTACTGCTACTGCTACTGCTTCTGCTACTGCTACTGCTACTGCTACTGCTACTGCTACTGCTACTGCTACTACTGCTGCTGCTACTGCTGCTGCTACGACTGCAACTAATGCTACTACAACGACTACTGCTACTACTACCCGTACCCCTGCTGCTGCTGTTATTGCCACTGCTATTACTACGACTACGACTCTACAACGGCTACGGCGACGACTACTACTAACACCGCACGGCGGAAGCATGTGTGCTTTTTGATCTCAGCCAAGTCCTGCGCATCTGCCAGGTCAAGTCCTTCCAAGAGGCAATAGGTGCCGCAAACAAGGCTCCATGGCTTAAGAGTTATAAGACTTCGGGCTCCAGCAGGGTGATTTGTAGGTTTGGGGTTTAGGGTTGTAGTAGCAGGGTTGGGGGTCTATGGTTGGTGCTTATCTCAGTGACTCAGAGAAGTCGCAAGGATGCAACATGTTCAGCGCGGAAGATGGACCTGTGGACACACTGCTCGATGCTGCGTGATTGGTCTGTGTAGGAGATGCATCATTACGTTCGTCTTGTTACTGTTCTTGTTGTCGTGGTTGTGGGTTGTGGATTGTTGGTTGTTGTTGGTGGTGTGTTTCGTTGTGGTGCGTTGTGTGTTGCTGTCGTTCTTGTTGTTCCCTGAGGCTCTCGCAATCTTCGAAGATGCCGAGGATTCGCGATCCGAGGCCTGATTGCTGGTGGTGAAACATGCAAGTAATAGTCATAATAGTCAATGCTTGGGCTACCGAGCTCTCTTCTGCGAGAAGAGTCTCACTTGAGAGATTAGCCAGCCCGAGCATGAATTGACAGCGGGAACTGTACAATACCGGAGAATTTCTGTCCGAATATCATGATCATGATTATCATCACGATCACCTGTTGTCCTTGTTGTTGTTCCCGGGTGTGGGAGGAAGGGAGCGAAGGAGGCGGCGACTGAGTGAGTTTCCAAATGTGGGTGTGCGTGTGTGTGTGTGTGTGTGTGTGTGTGTGTGTGTGTGTGTGTGTGTGTGTGTGTGTGTGTGTGTGTGTGTGTGTGTGTGTGTGTGTGTGTGTGTGTGTGTGTGTGTGTGTTTGTGCCTGTGCCTGTGTTTGTGCCTGTGCCTGTGCCTGTGCCTGTGCCTGTGCCTGTGCCTGTGCCTGTGTTTGTGTCTGTCTGTGTGTGTGTGTGGGGGGGGGGCAGCGCTGCAAAGGTTCTTGTTTGCGCTTTTTCTTTGATGATGATGTTGACGAAGATGCCGAACGTCATCATAGCGGTGTAACTGTTACTGCCGCTGCTTCTGCCTCCACTACTTGTGTGACGTATCATTACGGCTATCATGTTGTTGTTCTTGCTATCAGACTGTCAATGCTGGTACTTGTGCTGTCGCTGTTCCGCAGTTCCAGAGGTGATCCCAGGCCTTTTCAAACAGGTCTGCCTGCCGTGACCATGTCTTGAGGCACGCTCTCTTCACCTTCTAGCGGAGGCAAGGTTTGGCAACCGGCAGATGGAAGGTGGCAAGCAGGCCTGGCCCCGAAGACAGCGTTTCCGGCTTCAACACACTGCCATGCCTGTGGAATGTGTTGCAGACCTCCGGAAGGCTGCGGACGATGCGATAGCGATTTGGATGGAGCTTGGCCTCCCACGACAGGAGGCTGCAGCATGGGAGCGTGACTGGCCAGGGTCACTAGATTCACTAGATGGGTGGGATCGATTGGGTCTGAGTGTCGGAGACCAGGGGGGATCAGGGCTGGATGCACAAGGGTGCTCGACAGCAGAGCTATCAGCCCAAGATTGCAGCAGACGCTGATTCGAACTCAGAGGACCCAGCACCTCTCTTGCAGCGCATACCGCGGCCCTGGGTTGTCATGTGAACTCAAAACTGAAGTCCCTGATCTTCTCAGGCCATCGAGCACCTTTCCGTGGCAAGATGGCACGCCGAAGAGGAGTCTTTGCGTTCAACTGTTTGATGACTTTTTCGTGGAACCCTTCATGCCGATGACGTTGCCGATGTATCCCTGCGACATCCGTGTAAGGTGCATCACGGCATTTCTGCCACAAGGTATTCGACAGAAGTGTGGCAATCAGCAACTGGCTATCATATGTCATTACGGAGCACCCAACACAGTTTCAACCACCGTGGCTCCGAATCAGCCACTGGCGAGCTGACCACGAAAGAATCCAGCCTCGCGGGTTTAGGGCGAATTTGAAGGCTTGGTTTGGAGCACTTTCCCAGACGAGAGGAGGCTTCTGCGCAAGAAACTGTTTTTTGGCTGTTGTTGCTACTACTACTACTACTACTACGACGACCACTACCACTACCACTACCACTACCACTACTCCTACTCCTACTCCTACTCCTGCTCCTGCTCCTGCTCCTGCTCCTGCTCCTGCTCCTACTGCTACTGCTACTGCTACTGCTACTGCTACTGCTACTGCTACTGCTACTGCTACTGCTACTGCTACTGCTACTGCTACTGCTACTGGTGGTGCTGCTGGTGCTGCTGCTGCTGCTGCTGCTGCTGCTGCCGCTGCTGCTACTGCTGCTACTGCTGCTACTGCTACTGCTACTACTGCTACTGCTACTACTAGCCACCCCCCCCCCCCTCCCAACTACACTTGTTCCATCCGGGCTGGGCAGCCGTAGCTGCTAGGCGCCTTAACTGCGATAGTTGCAGAAGATGCACGGGCTCAGGCTCCTTATCTGTGACAGCTGCAGAAGTTGCAGAGGCTCAGTTTCCGTAACTGTCACAGCCGGTGAAGTTGCAGGGGCTCAGGCCCCAAAACTGCCACAGCAGCTGGAGTTGCAAGCTCGACGGGGAAGAAACTGATAAACCCCAGGTAGTCGGATAGTACGAAAATGCTGTAAATACCGTGCAAAATCCAGGTGCTGTCAACAAGGGTTTAACGTTTCTAAAACCTGAAGCGCAACATCTTCTGAACATCAAAAACAAAGATGCCAGCTGTACGTGGGAGGGGCTCGCCAACACCCCTACCGCCCAACCTCTGCGTAGGAGGGTCTGTTTTTGAAGTGGTGTGTGTGGTGTGTGCGCGCTTGAGTGTGGAAATATTGTTCAGGGTGTCCGCAAAACAGTGTCGTGATCATCCCCGAAGAAGCTTTCCCCCACCCAATTTCGAGTTTTTTTGCAAACAGTTCCAAAGAGCAAAGTTTAATACGCATAGTCGAGAAGTAGGGGCTCAGAATATGTAACAAAGTCTGACATCACGAAAGTACCGTAAATACCGAGTTAAACGGCTCTTGTGGTGATACTGCTGGGTGTGTTCGCGTAACACTGTCGTCATCATCCCCCCCCCCCCACCCCCCCACCCACCCCCAGAAGCAAGCCCAAAATCAAGAGCCCGAGTTTGCAAACTCGACAAGTCGATTTTTGGGCCTCTTAGGATGATCGCACATGACGAAAGTGCCGTAAATACCGAGTAAAATGGATGTTGTCTTAACATGGTGGAGAGCAAGTGTAGTTGGTAGGGGGGGGGGGGGCCTACTACTACTACTACTACTACTACTACTACTACTACTACTACTACTACTACTACTACTACTACTACTACTACTACGACTATTCTGTGAGATGTTATGCGTGTTTGCCCATTGCCCCCCCCTTCCAGGAGATGGCAACTCAAGCCATTGAGTCCGGCAACAAGGCCGGAGCTAAAAGCAGATGCAAGTTTTTGTTGTAGGGTGTTGCAAAAAAAAGAACTGCATGCATGTGCAGCAGGCATTTGCGATCTTGGAGGAGCTGAACGACAGACGCCGCCCATCTGCAATCTGCAGCAAGAAAGGTACATGGAAACACACCGGCTAAGTGGCGAGAGGGTGGGGCGCAGACGAAGTTCCTCATATTGGTTTCAGGGCACTCCGTGCAGATAGCTCGCGATCCACCCTATCCGCGAAGTGGTGCAGCTCGCCTGTGCGTGGAGGGAGCTGAGTCATTAAGGACGAATGGTGGCAGTTCGGAGCTCGGAGCAGATGCTTTTAGTCACATAGAAACCAATCTCTTGGGTGATGCAATTGGGCATGTTGTTTGGAGCTTGAGAACGTGCTGTGTGAATGCAGGGGGGGAGCATGAACGATCTTGGGATTTGCTGCGAGTGCTTCTGAGTTGTCACCTCGGCTGCCCAAGGCCACCAAGTATGCAGTACGCGGGCATATCATCTTAAAAGAGCCAGGTGCTCAGATGCGCTTAAAAAGGTGATGACAGTGTTGTGGGCGGTTATGACCGCCTGTCTTAATCTGCCGCGCATGGGTGAATCAATCCGACTGCAATGTTTCTAGGGTCTTTGAAGCAACTGAGCTGAGCGGAGGGCCTTCTCCTCGCACTGTGTAGGACGTGAGAGGGTATACTTTAGAAGCTGCCCCCACCCTGTAATAGTGGTATAATAGGAGTATAATAGGGCAAAAATATAATCCTTATTATAGTCACTATTACAGGTCTAAGGTATACTGTATACTGTTTATTGGTTGAAGGTACCGAGACGGCTGAGAGTTGTCTTCACCCTGCCAAGAGCCAAAACAAGCTTCTGAAGCCTTCCGATGCGGTAGCCGGAAAAAATCCTTGAACCAGAATCATACCCATTATAGAGCCCTTTATAGGGTAGGGGTCCCCATTTAGGGTCCCTCCTTGTCCCCTTTGAGAATCCGGACCCGAGGAGCGATGAAGCCATCGCACTGGCTGCCGAAGCAGCGGCTGCCCCAGAGTGTCGGAGGGAGTCTAAGTCTGCTTCTACAGGGAACTCCAGAAATTTGGAATATGGTTTCATGGTAGGATACCCTATAATTTACCATAGAAGGGTGAGGATAATCATCTTCCAACTTTCTGGCTTCTACCTTAAGTCTACTGATGGGCAGGATCCTGCTTGCGAGTGTGTGGTTACTTGAAACTCTTACTATTGCACCTGGGATGTGGGCTCCGTTTCCCCAAGAATGCAAACCAGTTAGTTGTCCATGCGAGAATGCAACGGCACAGCGAGAGAGAGAGAGAGAGAGAGAGAGAGAGAGAGAGAGCGAATGCAAGTCGGCCCGGGTGTGATTGAAACCGGCCCTTTCGGCTCATCTCCTTGCTCAAAAAAGATACACTTGGAAGCGAGCACAGAGTAGTCGCACCCACAGGGCCCAAGCAATTTACTACTGGTATCATCTTTTGCTTCATCTGCCCATGGCTTCAGCATCTCGCCCGCGTTGGGGAATTCTCGGAGCTGGCGGAATCTGCAATGACTTCGCTGTAGGCTCGGCTGCAGGGCTCATAGGGACATGCTTAAGGTAATTAATGGGTTCTCAAAAGCTTCGGCTGCAATTTGCCTTAGTCGTGGTGGTCGATGAGAGCGCCGGTTGGCAAACTCCTAGATTCCATCGGTCTGCGCAGTGCGCATGCATGCGAGTCGCACTTTTGTCTGTTATTCTGTGCCTGCGTCTTTGTCTGTTTGTCCGTCCGTTCATATCCGCCTGTGTCTGTCTCCCTCTGGGGCCCTCTGCTTGTCTCTATGCCGTGCCCACACTTGTGCGGGTGCTGGTCTGGCTCCTTGCCCTTCCGTGTCGTTTCAACTCAATCCTCGCTGGTTGGTGATACTTGCATGGATTCGGTAGCTCATCGATTGTGGCGTTGGGTGCCCCAGGCATCGTCATGGCCGGTGGATCCATCTCGGCGGTTGGTGCCAGCTCGGTAGCGAAGGCTGAGGTGCTGGCGACAAAAGTCAAGGCACGGCAGGCGCACGGATCCTACGAAGCGCTTGTGGCCGATCCCACTGTGGATGTGGTGTATATCGGTACTATCCATACGATGCACCGACCTCATGCGCTCATGGCACTGGCTGCTGGGAAGCACGTGGTTTGTGAGAAGCCGCTTGCTCTCAACGAGGCAGAGGCAAGGGAGATCATTGACACTGCCCGAGCCAAAGGCCTGTTTCTCATGGAGGCCATGTGGACCCGGTTCTTCCCCCTGACACGAAAGGTACGAGAGATCGTGGCAGGCGGTGGCCTGGGTAAGCCAAGATGCTTACAAGCAGACTTTGGATTTGTGGGACCGTCAGATGTCAAGCATCGGCTGTGGGACCCAAGCCAGGCCGGGGGTGGCATGCTAGACATCGGAATCTACCTCGTGCAGCTCGCGACGATGATCTTTGGGCTGGCCACGGCGGATGTGAAGGGCACCGCCGTCTTGACGGAGCAGGGAGTGGATTCTGAGGGTTCCTTATCAATCTGCTGGAAGGACTCCGGCACTGCCAGCTTGATGTATACTCTTCGGGCCGTGACTCCAGAAAGGGCTTGCATCATGTTCGACGGCGGGTACCTCACCATAGAGGGCCCGGCTCACACCCCAACGTCTGTTACCGTCTCGAGGTCGGACGGAGCTCGGGGTAAAGTCGAGCCTGAAACTTTCACAGTTCCCTTGCCATCGCTAACAAACGGGCTGACTGTCAACTACCCATGTTCGGAAGGAATGGTGTATGAAGTTGAAGCTGTGGAGGCTTGTCTCAAGGCAGGACAGCTGGAATGTCAGGAATACCCGCTGGACGAGAGTCTGGCAGTGTTGCGGATCATGGATGCTTTTCGCCAGCAAGTCGGAGTTTCCTATCCGGGAGAGCATGGTTCATCATGTACAGTTTCATGATCCCCGTTTTTCTTTACATCCTCTAGAGCTTATTACATATTGTACAAAAAGTATATATTGTGTATGATATATGATCTACTATGTACTGGATATACTAAATTCTTTTAAACCCACCCGAGCCTTGATGGGCCTTTATCGACTTGGGAGTCGAAGCCTACGAGCTGTTTGGGCTCAGCTTCGTCAACGAGAGCCCAGTGCCGGCCCTCATGTTGGCTGGGTTTGGGGAGACCAAAAGCCGGCGAAGGTGTCATTGTTGGGTTTCAGTAGTGGTCGGTCACTGTAGTTACCGTAGTTGTTTCTGTGATTCAGCGCTGCCGAAATCCGCAAGCACCGACATCATTGAATCATCTTCGGCAGCGCGGCACCTGCAGTTGCATCGTCACATCCATGGTTTGTTCCCTTGTCGTTGATCGGTCACTCTGTGCCAGCCCCTCGGTGGGTTCGTTCCTTCCTTCGTTCATCGATTCACTCAGTTATTGATGCATGCGTACATTCCTACATACAGGTCAAAGCAAAACAATGCAACATAATACATACAGGCCTACAGCCACAAAGCAATGCAATACAACACATACAGGCCTACAGCCATCACACGTACAGGTACAGGTACAGGTGCATACACAGACACACGCACACACACACACACACACGCACACACGTGTACACACGCATGCTTATATATATATATATGTATGTGTAATATGCATATATACACACGCACACACTTGTAGGCCTTCATGCATGTACAGTATACACACATATGCACACTTAAAGTTGGATAGTACCTATATAATATACATTTACAGGCAGGGTTACCTTTGCAATGAGATAAATGTACATACACATACACATAACATACATACATTACATGCACACGCGCACGCACATTCACAAATGCATCTACATTTAGCCGTGAGCATACGTACACGTACAGACATACATGTATATCTTACGTAGGTGTACATGTATGTGTACACATGCAAATACATGTACACATGCAGATGCACTAACCATACTTCCATGCAACTATACATACTTATCCAGATACATATACACATACATTTGTTCAGTCGGTCAGTCAATCAGGCAGCCGTTCAATCATTCATTCTGCATATGCGCATGCGCTCATGCGTTCATACATGCATACGTGCGAGGATGCATGCATCAATGCATGATTTGATTCCTTCACTCGTCCACATGCTCTTGCGTCCATACGTGCTTTCATGCATGCTTCATTCAGTCATTCATTCATTGATTCGTTTGTCCGTTCACTAAGTTACCCGCTCGTTAACATGATTACACGCTGGTGCATTCATGAGTCCAGACTCAAGTTCAGACATGCATGCAGTCAGTCAGCCAGCCAGCCAGGCAGGCAGTTTGTCAGTCAGTCGCTCGCTCACTTGTTCAGTCTTTGAATGGTTCATATGTTCATACGGTCTTACGTTCATGCAGGCATTCCCACATGCATTCATACCTGCAAGCAATCGCTCTTCCTTTCGTTCGTTTCGTTTAGCCGGTCATTCATTCACCATGTTCATGTGCGTCGTCACCACGTTGCTGCCTACATGTCGCGAGCTTTCTTCGTTCTCAGCTTGATAGATCAGGCCGACAGGTGGCGCAAGGAAGGGGACCAAGAGAATCTCCTTGAGATGCCCAGCACTTGGGGGTTTACCGCGGTTTGTGTGTGTGTGTGTGTGTGTGTGTGTGTGTGTGTCAACGGGGCGGCCTTCGATTCGGGCGAGACTCCTGTCCACTCTTCGGCAGCTACGATTCGGTGGGGTGCAAGGCCGAGAGGTCGTTTGCCACGAATATGCTTAAGAGGAGACAGTTCGCTTTGCAGCGTCCTCGGGTTTTTTTACACCCGATGTCGCCGTCGCAGGAAAGGGTTGCTGTGGGGTATTATGGCCTGCACATAACAACAAACACAACACGATACCTCTACATGAGGTTAGAAGTGCAAATCCAGACCTACCTTGACCTGGAGGCAGGGAAGCAGACTTGAGATCTTAAGCAAGGATCTCTCGGGACGGAGGTCCCACCGCTGGTGATGCTGAGCTTGAGGCCTGAGTCTGA